AATCAGAATGGACAGTAGAATTATTGCCTAGGTTGACAGCCAAAATATCAACAAAACAGGAAAAAAAAAGAATCCTACCTTTAGTTTTTATATTTTGTAATTCCAATCACTACTTTTCACCAAGGGTAACATCTGACTCATGAACAGATTAGCTCTTTAAGGGAATGGGGGAACGCTAGCAACTGAGAAGAAACTGTCATTCAATATCCTCAACATAAGCTTTAAAAAGAACAAGAGAGGAGCTTTTGACTTTCAACAACAAAAAATTCTATCCTCCAAGTTATTTAATCATCTTATACTGCAAAATGCCAATGAAGTTACATTAAAAATTAAGTCTTAGCTTAAAGTGAAGAGATAAAAATGTTACCTTCTGAAGAAATTCCCTTATCTTGTCCATGTCTTTCCCAGCATAAATATGCCACAGAGCACCAGGTATCTCACTTGAGTCCTTCAGTCGTTTTCTTAAAATGTCATCCAGATCTTCTTCCTCAAACTTCTTAAGTATTCCTAACACAGAGAGTATTTTCAAACTGGTCAGTAAAGACCACCAGAAAGCCCAGTCTCCTAAAACTGACCTATCAGAGCAGCACAGTGCCTGACTGGACTGGGACTCTTAAAGAGGAGATGGAACCCAGTTACACATCAAAACTGTTAGAACTACAAGAGCAGAGAACATTTACCCTGGGGTAACGAGGGACGGAATCAACAGTGACTTTCCCAGATCATCTGTTTTTTTGTAAATCAGGGAATGGGAGATTAAAACAAACAAACAAAACAAGAGCTTTTACTTAAATTTAACCAACTTTCTTCCTATCCCAAGGGGGTGGACATAACAGTGATTTGTCCTCAGATAGCATTTTATAATTTAGAAAGAACTTCCACTACCACTATTACAGTAAGCAAGGATAATAACCTCTATTTTAGAACTGAACAAAAAGTTCAGTGAGAAGGAATTTGTTCATTACCATGACTAATGAATGGCAGAGCAAAATGTCTTCCAACTAATTCCTGGGAAATCTCATTTATTATTATTGGTTAATCTGTAATCAAATGCAAATGCTTTTAGGTGCTGTGGTTTGAGGAAGCATTAGGCCATTCTTCTAAAATATTGACAGAACTAAAATGTGTATGTGCAGGAAAAAAACGTTAACTGTGGTTATCTCTGAAGTATAGGAAGATCATCTTTTTCAAATTCCTGATTTCACTACAATAAAATGTTCAGAAATCTTTATCTTTAATGAAGCTGTTTCTTTAGTCTAGGGGCAGATGACAATAGAGCTACATTTTGAGGGATGAATACAGGAATGTGCCAGGGAGACAAGTAGGAAGGAGAGCCACTGAAGGTGGAGGAAAAGGAATGTGCTTTAAGTAGGTGAGTATTTTTGATGCATTTAAAGCATTATTATAACTCTGTAACATGCCTTTTTTTGTGACCACTTATAAAAATTGGCAAAAACTTTGAAGGAAATCCAGAGTTAAGACGCTAATGACTTTTTCTCAAAAGACCAAATAGGCTACGAATGAGGGGTGGGAGGTGCAGAAACAAAGGTAAGTAAGAAGGTTCTAGCACTTATAGACATGAAAGAAAAGTAGGGGAGAAAAGCAGGTGTAACCTCTATATTGTAGATTAAGTGCTACAGGAGATGATCTGAACAAAGTACACCGAGATACAAAAGAGATACTTCAGTATCTGCACAGGACTGGTCCCAGGACCCTCCACCCCCAGCAAATACCAAAATCCACAGATGTTCAAGTTCCTTACATAAAATGGTGTAGTGTTTGCATATAATCTACACCTACCTCCCCTGGCCCCACCAACCCCATACACTTTTAGATCACTTATAATAACTAATACAATTTAAATGCTATGTAAATAATTGTAAATACAATGTGAATGCTATGTAAACAGTTGCTGGCCACAGCAGATTTGTTTTGCTTTTTGAAAATCAGCACATGGCAAATTCAAATTTTTCTTTTTGAAACTTACTGGAATTTTCTTTTTCCTGAATATTTTCTAACCTTGGTTGGTTAATTCTGCAGATGCAGAAGCCACAGATAAGGAGGGTCAACTATAACTCTGTGACACCACAGGCTTTGACAGGATACGTAATTGGAACCAAAGATCACACGTTTCTGTGTTACAGTTAAGACTACAGCTCAAGTGTGTCTGAGTCTCAAATCCTTGGGAATGAGGGGGCAAGAGTTTTTTCAATCAATTATAATCAATGGAGAGTCAGTTAAGAAAGCTGAGAAATTATGAATTTCTATAGTTTTGAGGGGAACTTAGAGTATGTATTATAGAAACTGTAGAATATATATACAAAAATTACTTAAAATGAACCCCCAGGTCCTGAGCACCTAGCCACTAAGCTGCAGATACATTCTGAGCTCCAGATACAGAATTGGTGAGCTAAGTGCTGGTTGAAAATCATGCATAAGTTTCATAAGAAGGGCATGTAAACTGGGAAAGGTAGAGAAAAAGGTCTTAGCTTTAGAAAAGTCTGTAACTCCATCAAATGTGACAAATCAAGGGAGCAGTGTTACTGAAGCCAAGGCCAGTATTTGAAGTAGTGGTGATTAACTGTTGTTATAGAGGGTACAAATAATAAAAGTACAAGAAAGAAACCATTGTACTGAACTGTCACCGACAGCCATAGCAATAGCAACATTAATTTCAGTGGGGTCAGGTATAGAGGCCAACCTGCACTGACAGGTTTCAACTGAGTTGAAATATGAAACAGAGGTGACAGACACAGCAAAGAATTTGTTATGCAGGCAGAAGCAATAGGATTGTCGCAAGGAAGACAAAGTTTGAAGAAGGCTTTTGGACAAAGAAGGAATAGTAGATGGAACAAGGTTTCAGAAATAAACTGGAGAAGACAGAATCTAAAACCTATGCAGTGGATAGAAAGGCTATTTCTACTTAGGTGAAAAGGCCCCCTCTCTTCGGTACTACAGCAGAAAAAAGAATGCTTGAGAACAAACATGTCTTAATCATCTTCAGATCTCCAGGACCTAGTTTCTATTCTTCACCAAATGCTTACCAGTTCATTTTCATAAACACAATATTTAATAATAGGAAAGGAACAAAAAAAAATACTCATTTTTAAATTAAAATTTCATGTTAAGAAAAAGACCAGGTAAATTAATCATGTTTCAAGTAATAAATATTAGAATGTCCCCATTTTGATGGGAGGGGGAATCTTTGATGTTAACCCAGAGGCTGACATTCTGGATAATACTACTGCGTATGGTTATTCAACTGTTATTATGAAGACCACTATTAAGTTTCTTTACCTGCTTTTGAAAGAATGCCATTTCCTTTTGCTATGCCAACATAGACTAGAATATTTACAACATCAGAAACTTCAACATGTAGATTTGTTGTTCCTATATCATGATCTTTAGTAGCAGCTACACCTGTGTACAAAATAAAATTTTACTTAAGAGAATACTTTACATATCCTAAATATTCCCCACAAAACCAGTTTTAGGAGGATAATCTATTAAAGTTTTAGTTTCTAAAACCTGCCCACAAAAAACCACAATCCATGAAATATCCCATAAAAATCAAGTAGAAAATGTAAATCTTTTACAAGGAATTAACAGGTACTCAGCTATATATATTGGCTATTAATTCCCAATATACACTGCTTGATTTAGAATATTCCATTTATTCCAAGCTGATAGAAATGCAAATATATACCTACCATAAGCACTGCACAACCTGGGTCCTAAGTCAGGGCGTACAAAAAATCCTGGCAAATGAGAGGCCAAATTGAATTTTCCTTCTGGATTACAATATTCTGGCAATGGTAGGCTTTTTAAAAGCTCTTCATACCTGAAGAGTAACAGTAGTGACGTCTTTTGAATAAACATTTACATTCTTAAGTGCTTTCAAATATATAACGTTCAACTTGTTGATAACACAAGCAAAAGTTGTCTTAAGGCCTTTGACAGGTACACTTTCCTGTTTAAAGGAATGCATACACACACGGATAACTACAGAACAGAAGTGATACTGACTGAAACTGCAATTCTGCTTCCCTAATTACAGCAAACTGAAAGCAACAAAAGGAGAGAGGTCCCAAATGGGGCCTCCTGTTCTTTGACAGAAGTATTCTCTCCTTTATTGTCCTAATAGACTTAGCCCTGCTCAGACTATGGAGATTCAGTTTTTAAATTATTATTTTTAACTGAGGAAGAAAATGCCTAAAAAGCTCACATTTGTAGTTTCTTATCCCACTTCTGGTCTCAGCTCAACCGCAAAAAACCGAGAGTCAAAGTAACAAATTTAAAACGATATACCTTGTTGGCATCATAGTTTTGAAGTCTTCTCCTGAAGGGCAGTCTTTCAATTTTAAAACAACTGTTTCTCCACTTTTTGTTTTTTGCCGTTCTGTAAGAATGCAATTGATTATTAAAAAGGTAATCTGTCTTTTTATTTTTGTTAATGTTTGGAGAAGGAAGAGATATAAAATGAACTAATTCGATTGTTGTACAGTAGGTACTTAATGCTTGCTTATGAACTTTTATTTCTTATGTACTTATGTAGCATGAAGATGTTTATTCCTTATGTATACAGATATATTGTAATATAAAAATTCTTTAAAAATCTCTTCACAGTTGTTACTAAAACTAGTCTGTGTTTTACATAAAGTACATAATTTAAGTTTCAAATACTTATGAGATTACCAAAAATATTTCCCATGATATAAGGAAACAGTATAAATGACTTTGTTTATGGTCAAAGGAAAAGAGGGATGGAGCCAGGAATAGGACCCAGTCTCTTACTTCCAACTACTTGTGTCTTTTGTTTCAAAGATTAAAAATCTATAAGTCATACTTCCAATTTATCATTGGGGCAGGGATATGTTTAAGGAAACAGTAAAACAATCAAAAAACAACATACTTGAAACTTCTTCAAAACCATTCCAGAATTCCTTAACATTGCCATTTGAAATAATGCTGTCTTTGCAGTTCAGGAGATCAGCTTGATGGTCTCCAAAATCAAGACTAATTGAGTCTGCCTTCCACAAGCTAATGTTCATTTTCTTATGCACACCAGAAATCACTGCAGGCTTATAAAGAAATAAACAGAGAAGTAAAAATTAGAAGTATATGGACACTTCCAAAATTTCATTTTACACACATATAGTAAATGGATAACATATTGAGTTTCAGGACTAATGACAAATTGTAAGAATAAAATAGGCTTTTAAATATGTATATGCATGACTGGGACATTGTGCTGTACACCAGAAACGGACACATTGTAACTGATGGTACTTCAATTAAAAAAAAAGTCCCTGACCTGGAAAGATGTTCATAATATATTTTCAAAGACAAAAGGGTGAGAGAATGCCATTTACATGGCAGAGTACACTGCCATGTTTGAAAACAAAAAGTAAAATACTAAATATTAATATAAAGTATTTTTCAGAAAAGAACTCTGAAAGGCTATACTAAAAACTTTCATTTCTAGGCAATATAACTATGTTTTCACAGACAGAACACAACCTACTTACATATTTGTATGTATGTACTATTTATAAGATTTTAATAATCCTTGAGATTAAAACAAAATTTCTATACATTCTACTTTTATATCACTTAAAACACATATATACATATATTCTTTACCTCCACAAGGATCATGACAAATTAAAATATTAAACAACCAGAAAAATAAATTTCAGATCTAATGAATGATTTCCTGAAAGTGAATTTCTCCTCTGAAATCACATGAATTCAAATTTCAAGGCTCTCTAACCCCAAAACCAACAACTGAAGATTTATAGCTTCTGAAACTCCAATGTTGATGTGATTTAAAAAAAACACACCTCTAAGGCAACTTCATTTGTTATTTTCAGGTTTCTTTCTTTTTTAAATTTATTATAAATGAAGTAAAAGAGAACACAGAGAAATTATGACTTCAGTAGTAGAGTGCGTGCCTAGCATGCATAAGGTCCTGGGTTCAATCCCCAGTATCTCCATTAAAAAAAATTAATAAAAGTAAATAAACCTAATTATCCTCCCCTAAAACAAAACAAAACCAAAAAGAGTTCCTTGTAAACAATGTCATTTGTAAAGTAATCTTAAAACTCTCAAGATAATCAATCAAATTTGGGGAACCACAAGTGCAGAATTACCTCTAGCTAGGGTTGTTATCACAAAGTATCTCAGAAGAAAAGAAAAAAATTAAACAACAGCAATAACCACCCTAAGAAGTTTGGTTAACTGCTCCACTACATTTTCTTTCAATGGTATCATAATATATTCAACTTTTAGATAATCAACTTTTGTTCACAATTCATGTATTAATTCCCAGCCCTTATTAGACCTATCCAATAATACTCCCATCCAGCCCTGTGCTACTCTATTATAGTAACCAGCAGCTTGGGAAAAGTAAGATTTTAAAAATGAGAGAGGCAAGTTAATTAATATATTACACTATTCTAAAGCAGAATTCTTAGACTACTATCATCATTATCATCTTTCCGAATACTGAAACACCTTTCTAATAGTAGACTCTTTGCATCTGATCTTATTCCCCTTCTAATCCAACTTCCAACCTGCTTTGTTGTCAGTTATTTTTTGTTGTTGTTGTGAGTTATTTTAAAATGTCAATCTGTACAACACAGGGAAGACAGCCAGTATTTCATAATAACTATAAATGGAGGTATAACCTTTAAAAACTGAATCACTGTATTGTACACCTGTACATTAACTATAATTCAGTTTAAAAAGTCAATCTGATTGCTTTGATTCTTCAATCGCAACTGTCATCCATAGGATGAAGTTCAGACTCTTTAGCATATTATAAAAGTCCTTCAATAATAATAACCCCAACCACCTCATTTCCCCATCATCACCCCAGAGAATTCTTATTGTCAGGTAAACAAAGCTACTTAACAGTTCTTCAAACACCTGATCCATTTTATTCCTAACCTCTTGTCCATCTAGAAGAACTTCACTTAACCCCTGAGATATCAATTCAGACTAGCATTTTTGAAATAGTACTTGAGCTTAGTCATTCACTCTTATAGGTTTCCACAGTACCTTAAACAAAATACTTAGAATATTTAACATATTTATAAAAGTATTTATTTATATGACTGTTTAAACCCACACAAATCTAAGTTGTTCAAATGCCACCTCAGCAATGGCATCAAGGCTTCAGGGAGAGCCAACCAAAAAATATATACATGTACTAAATATACAGTATATGCAATGCATGAGTGTGTATCTTTTTCTGGGGTGAAGAATCAAGCTGTCATCTGATTTTGAAAAGGATTGGTAACCTAAAAAGATAAAGAACCACTGTATTGAAATGATTCTTACTCATTTTTACATCCTTAATGGCCAGCACAGAGACTGGATTTACTAGGTGCTCAATAACTATGTTGAATGAAAAAAGTGAAGTAAAATACCAATGATGTCCAGAATGCAAGGGAAAAAACTGAACATAATACAAAGTCATGCAAATTCATAATGTGTGTGCATTAATGTAGTAAACTGCCACCTGGAATGGCACTATATCAAAACTTGTCAAACAAAACCATTTATATCTGAACAGAATTAAATGACTCTGTTGTTCAAGATTTAATCAACTAACTTATAAATGTTCCATGGATAAACATTATAGGCAAAAACATCTACACTTTTCATCAGTTCAACAAAAATAGTTCTGGTATTAACATTTTAATAGCAGATATGAATCTGTTAACTAGACTAAAATACAAATTTTAAAAAGGTGGTACCAAACTTTGTAAATATACAGCTTTATTAAAAGTCTGTTGACCAACAGATCAAAATTATAACATCAAATAATCAGCTTCCCTGGCCAAAAAACAAGAATTCAGAAACAATCATTCTGGGGTGGGAAGGGACAGACTGGGATTTCAAAATTTGTAGATACTGACAGGCATATTCAGAATAGATAAACAAGATTATACTGTATAGCACAGGGAAATATATACAAGATCTTGTGGTAGCTCACAGCGGAAAAAAAATGTGACAATGAATATATGTATGTTCACGTATAACTGAAAATTTGTACTCTACGCTGGAATTCGACACAACATTGTAAAATGACTATAACTCAATAAAAAATGTAAAAAAAAAAAAAGAAAGAAAGAAAGAAATAGTCATTCTGGTAACTTGTTGTTTTTGGTATCTTCCAACCCAAATGTGTCAAATATTACCTTTCCCCTCTCTCTGTATTCTTAAGAGAACTCTTTTTCCTATTCAACCAGCGTCAGCACCGCTAAGAGCATATTAAATCAGCTTAAAATACTCACTTGTCCGTGTTTCCAACACTCTTTGAAAAGCTTCCAATTATTGACATTTTTATAATCCTTAAGCCACAGAATATGCTTCTCACAGATCCAGGAATGTGGTATATCACTGTACAACTTATTGTTTTCATCCACGGCAGATTTTCTGCTTTCTTTAGGCTCTTCTTTAAGCTCTGGTTTTACATTTATCTTAGAGGCTTTATTTGGTGGAATTTTGTTTTCAACAACTGAAGCAATTATGTCATCAAGAATGTTTGGCATAGTCCTTCCACTTTTACCACTCTAATAGGGAAAAAATTATATTTACAAGGAAAAAGTTAACATTTTGAAATTTTTGCTTTGATTTACTAGTAACATAGCAAACAACCAACACAAAAAATATGCCTGGCTTCATGAATCATGTCAGTGGACGTGGGTCTCTAGTCCCCACACTGTTCCTGACAGGTGGGAAGCAGAACTTCGGTGGTCTGCAGGGTATGCAGAAACTAGTGAAGTGTGCCCTTCCTTCCTTTCATATTTTAGGAACAGGGCAGAGGGACAAATAGGCAAACTCTCCCATACACTTTTAAAAGCCACTAAACATGTGTGCCTACCTATGCAATTAGTCTGTTTTTATTTTTTCTGGTAAATAACT